GACCCTGATGAGAACTATATGAACCCTGGCTGGATGATACACTACGGTGAACTGGATGACCCGCCTAAGTGTGTCTGTAAGAACAACCCCTACCGCGGTAAAACTGACCCCCTGAAGGAACACCGCTGAAATCACTTGGACCATGAGGCCTCTTAGCCTCCCTCTCTACATGCTCTTAGCTACGTACCATCTCTATCTGCCGAGTAATGTCAACTACCTTATCAAAAGTAGCACCAGATACTCTCTTCCGAGTCATAAGTAACCGTAGCTGATATGTGAGGCCATCAATGAACCTCCTAATCCTTTCCCTATTAGTGGGAACCAACCAAATTGCGTGACGAGCCAACTCCGAAAATCTCATCTCGTACTGCGTCATAGACATACCATCCTAACGTAACTGCTCAAACTGTCTGCACAGCTTCTCTCTGTGAGACTGCGGCACAAACTTCTCCAAAAGGAGAACGGAGAATTCCTGCCATATAAGTGGTACTGCACCAACCGGTCTGCGTCTCTCAGAAGCCTCCTACAATCTGAAGGCAGTCCCAGAAAGCTGAAATGTAGTGAACGAGACCCTACTGGTATCCAAAATACTCGTTGTTCACAGCATCCGCTGACACTTATCCAAAAATCCCTAAGCATCCTCTGACTCAGCACCGCTAAATGATGGAGGTCGAAGCCTCCCAAATCTCTCAAGTCTCCTCTGCTCATCATCTGCATAACAGGGACTACCTGGGCTTGAGCGGCTGCAACTTGCTGGACTGGTAGTGCCCTCGGTATCTGAGGTACCTGTACTACCTGATCTGGAATATGGGCAACATGGGTATGAGTACCTCTCCCGGCCTGAGAAGTGGCAGGTGCGGCCTGAGCCGAAACCACCTAAGCAAGGCCAGTGAAAACTGTTAATATCCGGGCCAAAGTCTCCTGAAGACCTGGAATCTCAATGGGCACAGTTGGTGCCTCAGCTTGTCCAGTCGGCTCAGCTAAATCTGGAATCTGCTCCTAAGCTGGAGCAACTAGTATTATTGTTGGTGCTACTCCAACTGTTGTATGAGCGACACCTCGACCTCTACCTCGGCCCTAGCCTCTACCACAACCCCGACCTCTCGCGGCCCTAACTGGTGGCTGACCGTCTGATCCGGTAGTACGTGTTCTCACCATCTGTGAGAGAATAAAATAACAGAAATTTAGTTTCCGGAATCAACAAATTCGCACGATAGAATACAAAAAAGTGAAATTTTCCTAAGGGTTAGGCAGCTTCTCGAAGATAAGTACAGGCGTTTCTGTACCGATCCGCAAGACTCTACTAAACCTGCTCATGACTCGTGAGACCTATGTAACCTAGGCTCTGGTACCAACTTGTCACGACCCAAAAATCTCACCTGTCGTAATGGTGCCTATCTCAATACTAGGCAAATCGACAACATCAATAACCCACAATTTCTTTTAAATACTGAAAACATAATAATTAAGTTTAGGGGTAAACCCCACAATTATTAGAAATAAACATACTCACAAAATCCGGTATCACTGAGTACATGAGCATCTATACATTACAAGTCTGGAAAACATGGTAGATAATAATCTGAGACCTAGTACAATAAACAAAAGGGTAGGGAAGGAGAGACAAAGTCTGCGAAACATGGCAGCTACCTCTGAATCTCCGAAAAATTGACTGTGTGAAAGAATCAACACCCACTGTATGCGGGATCACCTGGATTTGCACACGAAGTGCAAGGTGTAGTATGAGTACAAACAACTCAGTAAATAATAATAATAAATAAAGAATTGAAAGTAGTGACGAGCTTCTCAGCTAAGTCCAAATACAGTACTTTCCAATATAAAAGAGTAGGCATGCTCTCAAGTTCTACATTTAAGATTTCACTAAAATTTCATATCAAGTTTGACTGAAATAGAAAATAATGTTTTTCCGAAATTTTCAAAAATAGTGATATATGACAGCTGAAATGCAGCAAATAATGAAATCAATGCATACTCTCAGAGTAACAGTCACCGAGTCCCCCCATTCACTCCAACCTCACAGTCACTCTTTCCTCACAGTCGCTCATTCCTCACAGTCACTCATCACTCGGCACTCGCACTCAGTAGGTACCTGCACTCGCTGGGGGGTGTACAGACTCCGGAGGGGCTCCTTCAGCCCAAGCGCTATATCAAGCCAATCATGGCATAAATCAATAAAAACATGCTGCGATGTGCAACCCGATCCATAAATATCCTCACAATTAGGCCCTCGGCCCCACCCAGTAATCAACCTCTCCAGTCTCCCGGGCTCTCAAAAATCATGATAATCAACCCAAAATTTGATAATATGATGTTTTAATAAATAGCAACAGAGACTGAGATATGATGTGAAATGAATAAACATGACTGAGTGTGAAATTACAATTTGAACATATAATTCAACCACAGAAATGACCCCAATGGGTACCAATAATAACAGCATATGTCTAAGCATGATTTTTAATACGAGTCTCAGCTCCATTTTTCCTAACACATAGAGAATGTATGGATATCAACAAATAATTCAACTACACAATCCCATGGAATTTGACCAAGTCATAATTCCTATGGTGCACGCCCAACGCCCGTCACCTAGCATGTGCGTCACCTCAAAACCAATCACACAATATATATTCTGGGGTTTCATACCCTCAGGACCAAATTTAAAATAGTTGATTACCTCAAGCTGAGTAATTCTTTATTCTACAATGTCTTTTCCTCATGAATTGCCCTCCAAATGCCTCGAATCTAGCCACAAATAATTCGATTCAGTCAATAAAATTTATTGGAATTAATTCCATAAGAAAAATCACCTATGGGGCCCAAGTCTCGGAACCCGACAAAAGTTATAAAATCTGAAAGCCCATTCAACCACGAATCTATCCATACCAATTTTACTTAATTCCGACATCAACTCGACCCTCAAATCTCCAAATTAAACCAAGAAGGTTTTCTAATCTTTCAAACTTAATTCACCCCTTAAATGTTAAAAACAACCATAGATTCGGGTAATTTGATCAATAATGAGTTAAGAACACTTACCCCGTTGCTTTCCTTGAAAATCTCCCAAAAATCGCCTCTTCCCGAGCTCCAATCCGTCAAAAATGGAAAATGGGACGAAGTCCCATTTTCAGAACTTAAACTTTCTGCCCAGACCTCTCTTCTTCGCGAACGCGACAGGTCCCTCACGTTCGCGAAACACAAAATCGTGCTGCCCAACCTTGCTCTTCGCGAACGCGAGACACTGCTCGCGAACGTGATGCTTTACCGAGCTCTTCTTCGCGAACGCGAAGGCAAAAACCCATGCCCACTATTTTTCCCCTTCGCAAACGCGATACCCAACCGCGAACGCGATGAACAACCCAACTCCTCTACGCGATCGTGAGACCCCCTCGCGAACGCGAAAAAGGAAACCAGAAAAATACACCAGCAGTCTTCAGCCAATATGCCAAGTCCAAATATGATCTGTTAACCTCCCGAAACTCATACGAGGCCCCTAGGACCTCAACCAAACATACCGTCAAGTCCCATAACATCATACGAACTTAGTCAAACCCTCAAATGACCTCAAACAACACTAAAACCACGAATCATACCCCAATTCAAGCCTAATAAACTTTGAAATTTCAAGTTTTCACAAATGACGCCGGAACCTATCAAATCAAGTCTAATTGACCTCAAATTTTGAACATAAGTTTTAAATGACATAAAAAACATATTAAAGTTTTCAGAATCGAATTTCGATACCGATATCAAAAAGTCAACCCTCCGGTCAAACTTCTCAAAAATTCGACTTTCGCCATTTCAAGCCTAATTCCACTACGGACCTCCAAATAATTTTCCGGACACGCTCCTAAGTCCAAAATCAGCATACACAGCTATTGGAACCATCAGAATTAAATTTCGAGGTCGTTTACACATAAGTCAATATCCGGCCAACTTTTCCAACTTAAGTTTTCAATTAAGAGACTAAGTGTCTCATTTCACTCCGAAATCCTTCCTGACCCGAACCAACTAACCTGGTAAGTCATAAAATAACTGTAAAGCATAAATTGAGCAGTACATAGGGGAACGATGTTATAACACTCAAAACGACCGGTCGGGTCGTTACATAAACTCACCCAACAATATAATGCAAATATATCACAAGTTATGCCTCTCTCGATTACATGAATAATTGAATATAGATGCAACAGTTAACTCATCCAAAAAGCTTCATTACATAAAACTAGAGTTATAATCCACAAACAATCATCAATAAACCAAATCCATCAAACCCTAAAGGGAACTACTCCATAGATATGGAGCAAATAATCACAAATAAGTTTAAAGTAAATGAAGGCATAAATTCAATCCAAACTCGGGTCTTGAGTGAGGAAGGAATGATGAAATCCTTGTGCTTTTGTTCTTCCAACTCCTCCTTAGCCTCCTTAGGTCGAATATGTGTCAAAAGTCCAGCAAATAATATTCTTCGTGTATTTATACCAAGTAGGGTGGGGCCTAGACGAAATCATATTTTCCTAGTCGAAATAGGATATTTACTCTGTAAAAAATACACAGGCGCGCCGCATGGGGAGACGCGACATGCGTGGCATTAGTTGGGAAAATCTAGAGAGTTAATTTCTGATAGACAACAGGAAAATGGGCAGTTGTGGTGCCCCACACGCCGCGGCAATGGGGATTTATCAGAGTACAGATTTTTCTTGCGTTTTGACGTCCAGACTTGATCCTCGACCCCCGAACACGATCCCGGCTTATTCCCTTAGGCTTTTACTCATACTTCAAAGCTCCAAATCACTCAAATATATTTCATAACATCTGCATAGCTCGGAATCACTCCTACAAGGCATAAAACACACAATAAGTGCAAAACTCTAGCAATTAAAGCTCAAAACAAATAAGGTGCAGTAAATTAGAGTGCAATAAGTGACTAAAATACGAGATTATAACTTACCATTACGTTAACCAAACTTCCGAAAGACTCACTCTGTGGCATGATGCTCGACTGTCTCGAGACATATAAGTGGGACCGAAGACATCCACATAGCTCGACCGCGGGAGAAATAACCTGGCAATCCAGCTATGAGCACGTCACTGTTGGGCCTCCATATGAACTATTTATTAAACACAATAATCATGAGTAAACACAAGACATATCAAGTCATGCCAAGTAAACTTAAGTATATATGTACCTGAGCGTCTTCAAGTAAATCTAACAGATCCCTGTAATAAGGGAGATGATGTCGAGCCTCGACCTTGGGGGCGTGACCTAGCCTATCTACCCATCTCCTAGCTGTTTGGAGAAACGCTGGGGGTGGTGCATTTGGAGCTATCGGTGGCAGATGTGGCTGGAACCGCTCCCAGGTCCAAACCTAATATTGATTGTGGACGTAATATTTAAGTTTTTTTTTATTATCTCTATTATAATCATGAAAAGAATTGACTATGTTATCACTTGCAGCAACTGTATAAAACCGTCAACGTCTCTCACAGTGTCCATGGACGACCGGCACAGCTGCCTATAAAGGTAAGCTAGAACAGCTCTACCCCAGTTGTAACCAGGTAACTCATATAGCCGCTCCAAATGATGTAGAAATCGCAAGCTAACTAGGTTTCCCGAAGTGTTCGAAAACAGAATACCACCAAACATCATCATCAGCAACAACCTCGTCTGCCAATCGATATCCTCTGGCGATGAGTCATCAGTAATCTCCGTATGTAGCGCCACCAGATGCTGCCTAACGGGCAGCAACTGCAATCGACTGGCACCACTCAAAGCAGTCGGCTCCGCAAGCTGGAAACCGGTGAGCCTCTGCAACATATATAGGTAGTTCTCTCCCGTATAGTCGCTAAGAGCAAATGGGTAAGCTACAAGCATACCATCAACGGGCAACCCGAATAGAGCCTCCACGTCCTCTAGCGTGATGGTAGCCTCGCCGATAAGTAGATGAAATGTGTGTGTCTCCGGTCGCCACCGCTCTATCATAGCCATGATAAGGGCCCAGTCGAACTGCAATTGTCCGATCTCTATAATCCGATAAAACCCCATCAGTTGAAGGCGTCTAATTGTATGGGGATGAAGTGGGTGGTCCCTAATGAACTCCCAAAGATCGTCTATACGTCCGGGGTAGAAGATTTGGGACAGATACTATCCATCCCAGATGTGTGAAGACCTATGGTTGCCCTTGAGCAACAGTAGCTCTCGAACAACAGGTCCAGGATGCACAAGGGGAAGCTCCATGACAATGTTTGTAAATTGAACAATATTAATTAAAGTATTTTTTTGTTTAATCGTTTAACATCTTTAAATATATTGCAATATTTTTTATATTAATATTTAATCGATAAATTTTCTATATTATTACTTAGGTTGATACATTTTTTATATTATTATTATTATTATTATTATTATTATTATTTTATATGTTAGTTTCTTGTATTTTTGACTAAAATTCGGCAGGGATTTGTTTGAACTATCATTTTTTTTTTCCAGATATTTTTGGATTATAAGAGAATTAAATATTTAATTTTCATAACTAATCATGATATATTTAATAATTATTCATATAAATATACGTAGGCTGATAATTTTTTTTATATTATTATTTCATATGTTAGTTTCTTACATTTTTGACTAAAATTTGGCAGGATTTTGTTTGAACTGTCATCTATTTTTCAGATATTTTGGGGTTATAAGATAATTAAATACTTAATTTTCATAACTAATCAAGATATATTTAATAATTATTCATATAAAAAATACTACAACCTTAATACTAAATAATATTCAATTCATTTCATTCGTAACGATTTGTTTGTTAACTTTTATATTTTGCCCAAAGAATCCAGTACCGTCTCTCTTGTAATGTCAACTAATTATTTTATGATTCATCTAATATTTGATATTTATCTAGTAATACATTTAATTCATAATTAAGTGCTCTAACCGAGTTAGTTAATGAGGGCACGTAGTTTTTATTATATACTAAAGAATCCTAAAGACAAAGTCACACTACTCTAAATGGTACATAGTTAGTTAACGAGGGCACACAATCAATTACCATAAGCTAAAATTTATTATTAATTTTACTATGCTAAAGGGCACTACATAACAATTAAAGGCACAAAATAACACTAAAGGGTACTAAACAACAATAAAGTCACTGGTTATTACACGTACAACACTAAAGTCACATATAACACTAATTATTCAATAAAATAATAATATATATTTTTTATAATTTTTTAGTACATAAATAAACTAATTCGGATAAAAAATAAAAAAATAATTATATCACAAAAAGCATACAATACTGTAAAAATAACTAATTAGTACTTTATATACATGAGTTTTACTAAAAAATGAGTCGGAATACCTCAATTTAGAGTTTTTTTAATTGTGAAAAATTGATGATCTGACCACCGAAACCAGCAATAGAAGAGATCCACTACACGGCAACGCCTTGGATCTGGTGTTAGCTCACTAAAATACAAAGGGGACACGATTTTTGGAAGACGGGTAGGCTCCAATGAAGATTTTTGCTTAAAAAATATGGGGGTGGGGTGGGGGGTGAGGGGGAGAGATCATTTGAAGGGTTCTGTCGCGAGGAAGATGGCTGGGCCATTTTTAATATAAGTATAGCGCACATGCGTTATACCTATTTGTCTTTTCAACTTGAGGTATAACACATCCCGTATATGCGTTATACTTATATTTTGACCGTCATTTAAAATTCAAATATATCGCATGGCTTGCATGCAGGGGCAGATGCAGAAGGTTAGCAACGGACGTAACTTTTGACGCGGAGTAAAATTTTATGTGTAAAAATTCTTTAAAATTGTAAAACTAATAAATATGAACTCATAACTTTAAAAATATAATGGGTTCAATGCTAGAAACTTTATAGTTGAACCCATAGAGTTTAAATCCTTGATCCGCCTATGCTTGCATGCGCTATACCTTAACGGACAAACGTGCCGTTATATAGCATTTCAACTCATGTATTTTATATATATTGGTCACCAATTGGTTTTTCACCTATTTTTGTGCTTTGAATAAAAAAAATAATACTTTGATTTCGGACTCGAATATGTATTAGGACAATTGAAGCTCTCAAACTATTAAAATGCATTTATAGGAAAGGACTGAAAACCAAAAGTTGGTTGATTTGAACTCCCTAGCATGCTTCTCCTGTAAGGTAGTACCGACCGGGTCTGTTTTATTTTTGCAGGCTGGTCCTAAATGCCTCAATTTTTGTAATCTTTGTCAAGCTCGCGCAAATTTCCATTGTCCTAACGGATGGAACTAGGGATGGGACTATGGACGGGCATATATCGGGTATAATAGATAGTCTGAATCGATAAAATATTATTGGGTTATTGATATCGGTTTATTACGTAAATAGTTCGATAATAGTTTAATATTATTTGACTATTGGGTTATCGGTTCGGGTCTCGATTTGCTCAATTTTATTAACGATTTAACCGATAACCCAATAAGTTTTAACAAAATATAATTTTACCCACTAAGTATATAAAGCCACCTTATGGCTTCATTCTCTCAATTCTTTCGGCAGTTACTCTTCATCTATAAGCCTTAATCTTTAGAGTAAGTTTTAAACGTATCTGAATCTCTCATCTTAATTCTTCTGTTAATATTTTTAGTTTTAAATTTTAAAGAATTAATTGTTCAAATTTTTAGTTTTTCTATTTTGTTGCGCTACTTCTTTAGTATTTACAAGATTAGTATTTTATTATTCTCTGTGAAGTATGTCCACCCGTAGTGAGGTAGTTAGTAAAATTAGATTGTTTAATGTCTTATTCCTTACTCCTACTAACTTATAACTTTGAAAATTGAGATCATTCATTGAGATTTTCAAATGCAAAGAAAGTTTTCTCTTCTAAAGTTTAAATTTAATCCTTCTTTTCTTAAGAAATCTCTTAACAGTATGATCACGATTTCTATAATAAAAACATGAAAATTTTGAACGTTTTTTATTCTTATCGGGTAAACCGATAAGGATCGATAACCGATATCTTAACGGTTCGGTTATCAATTTAGCATATTTATAAATCGATAACCGATATGTTAAGCGACAACATTCACAACCGAATCGTACCGACCGATGCCCAACCCCTAAATGGTAGCCCACCAAGTTAACAGCTTGTGAAATCGAAATCAAGAAAGATAAGCAAGATTTGGAAGGCATCAAAAGTTGAAACTATTTTTATATTTCCTCATGATCCCCGGATGTAGCTTTATTGTAGGTTAATTGAAGTCTTTCCTTGTCACAAAATGCTTTAAATTTTTTCATTCTTTTATAAAATTTGTAATCAAATCCTCTCCATGTTCCTATCCCAGGGGTAATCAAGGGCGGATCTAGAGCATTAAATATGAGTTTTAGGGAACCCAGTAATTCTTGTGTAGATTCTATATTTATATTAAGAAATTCACTAAATATTTATAAATATTTAAATGTGAACCCAATTATTATTGCATATTAATTTAAAATTATGATAGGAACTCATAAACTTGAGATCCTGGATTCGCTCAGGGGTAATGACATGCATATACTATACTTTATGTCATCGCATCAACCTGTACCGAATATATGTGTCATGGTCCTTGAAATGACAAAGCTAATAATAAGTGAGAGACAACATTCAGTTTAAAAGTTTTTTTTTTTTTAAAATACATTTTGTATCCCTGGGAGAAATCTTTGAACATTTAAAATAGATTGAACAAGAATTAATATGGACAGAAACATCATAATCTTAACCTGGACTTTCGTCATCAAAAGGCCAAGCAACATAATGAACTCTTCTACGACGTTATGTACAAAAAGTTTTTTTATTTTTCATGTAAAGATTAATTAAAAGATAATTAGTGAACTTCAATGATTGATAATTTGCTCGAGAAAGGTAATACCATTCTGATTTATGCAGGTCATGTCCTCTCTGAACTATATTCAATACTTCCTTGGATTTCATAGAGACTTCAGTTATATGGATTTCCCTTGGTTATCTTTTAAAGGTGAAATTATTGACCCTATTCGGAGCATTTCTCTAGTTTATAGTTTATTTTTTGCTATTATGTGAGATTTTTTTTTTTTTTTTGGGGGGTCAGACACGACTTACAAAAAGTATTTTTTGTGTCAAAACTTTTAGGCAATGATGAAAATGTCACAAAATCAAGTGTGTGTAAACTCTAATACAAAAGATTGTGTGTTGTTAATGCTCAAGTTGGGGAACTCGGTGCAGGCGCACAATATCTGGAAAGAAAATTAGATACAAGTGAGGATAGCTTGCTTGGGAGTGAACTTACCCAATTAATGACACAAGTAATAATACATGTAAATAGCAATACGAATAACATCACTATATTTAAGATTTTTCGAAAAATAATTTTATTTTTACCAACAACAACAATTAGTATAATCCCACAAGTGGGGTGTGGGAAGGGTAGAATATACGCAACATTACCACTATCCTGACAGGGCAGAGAGACTATTTCCGATAGACCCTCGGCTAAAGAAGGTGAAAGAAGCCATGACAGCAAGTGATAGCAAGACAAATAATTAAAGAACTAAATTGAAGATAGCAACAGAGAATATGAAAGAGGTACCGATAATAAGTAAAATCAAGACAATATATTTAGAAAACTAAATCCAAGGCAGCAAACGGGAATATGAACGAAGTACTGCCAGCAAACTACGAAATTACCGATGGCAAGTAATAACAGAACAAGACGTGCGAATATAGCAAACTAAGGAAAAAAAGGATACCGTACTAGCACTACTACTATCAAACCATAGAAGACGAAAGGAAACGCACGACTACCTATTATCCTTCTACCCTAATCTTCAACCTCCACACCCTTCTATCTAGGGTCATGTCCTCAGTTAGCTCAAGCTGCATCATGTCCCGCCTGATCACTTCTCCCCGAGACTTCTTTGGCCTACCTCTACCTCTCCTCTCACCTCCCAAGGCCAACATCTCATATCTCTTGACTTAGGCATCTGCGCTTCTCCTTTTAACATGTCCGAACCA